GGCAGGGCCAGTGAAGGCCCGGCAAAGGCCCGGATTACAAGTATGGTTCTGAGGTTTCAAAAAATTACGAATTTTTGAATTTTTGAATTCCCAAACTTCCTGCATTTTTGAGTTTTCTGGAATTTTCGAACTTCCAATTTTTCGAAGCTCAGTTTTTTTTTTTCAATTTTCGGGACTTTCTGAACTTCCTGTATTACGAAATTCAAAATTCTTGAAATTTTGAAATTTTAGAATTCAAAATTTTCAGGATCTCAGATACTCAGAATCTCCAAATCCCAAAATCCCACCTTCTCCCCTGGCAACGAGAACGCAATTCTCCCGAATCCAGTCTTTCTATCGATTTTCTCTCCCGACTGGACGATTTCCAATTCACACTGTCCCTCTCCGAAACTCAATCGAACCCTTGTTTTTTTCTCTTCAACAATTCCCATTCCCAACAATTCGTTCCAGTATTTTTTCGATTTTTCCAGATCACCGACGTTCAATTGCACACGGAGCACTTTGGGGGCGTGGTCAGCTTTTCCGATTTTGAATTCGTGACCATCGGGATCCTTGACAGCCAAACGACCACATCCGGATTTTCGATGATCGATGCGAGAGATTTTGTCGAATAGTTGATCGGAATCGATCACGATTGCCTGGAACATGCGAAAATGTCAATTTCCTAGCTTTTTTTCTGAAATTCCACTATTTTTAAACTTAGAAATTGCGATCATTTCAATTCAATTTTTGCGAAGAAGTCGTTTTTTTTTCAATTTTTCTTGATTTTACGCCTTTTTTTTAAATTTAAAGCCTATTTTTGTCAAAATTTTGATTATTTTTAGCTGAAATTTTTTCGGCTCAATTTTGACCGAAAAACCTAAAATTCGGATTTTCAAAATCCCCGAAATCGAGATTTTCTGGAAATTTTCCAATTTCTGAATTTCATAAATTTTGAATTTTTTCAATTTTCCGAATTCAGGAAAAAGAAGCTTTTCAAATTTTCGGAAAATCTGAACTTTTGGGAATTTTCGATTTTTCGAATTTTTGAATTTTTCGCTTTTTTTTCAAACTTACAATTTTTGAACTTTTTGAAAATTCGGAATTTTTGGTTTTTGGAATTTCTGATTTTCCGGACTTCTAAATTTTGCCGGAATTTTAGAATTTTTAAAATTTCAAAACTTTGATTTTTTCGAATTTTCTGATTTTTTTTTCTGAATTTTCGCAATCCAAAACATTTTGATTTTTAGAATTTTTTGGAATTTTCGTAATTTTTGATTTTTCGAACTTCGGAATTTACCGAAATTCGTTTTCGGGAATTTCCTGAATTTTGAACTTTCAATTTTTCGATTTTTTGCATTTTTCAAATTTCAGTAATTTTCGGAATTTTTGAAATTCTGGATTTTTAAATTTCCGAATTTTTGATTTATCGAATTTTTCAATCATTTTTAGTGATTTTTTCTAAAAATTAGCTGATTTTTCGGGTAAAAATGACCATTCTCAACGGATTTTAGCTATTTTTTCTTAATTTTGAATTCAAATTTTCGATTTGGCGCCATTTTTCAATCTCCTCACCCGATAATCATTACCCAACTCATACTTATGAATCGGGTAATTATAAGTGAGCTCCAAGACGAAATGCTCATCCTCCGACCCGTACCCGATCATCGTTTTGCTCCACCGCTCATCATACGGTCCGTTGCAGCTCGCCTCGCATCCCTTGTCGAATTCCTCGTGCCGAAGAACCTGTAGTTTGTAGTGAAAAATCTCGAAAATTCGATTTTTATACTTTCATCTCCAGAATTTTCGTGTAAAAATCGATAGTCTTGGCGCGATTCGCCACCTTGAAGACGTAGTGAAGAGCACGGGCGGTCATTTCTGGAAGGCTTTCAGTGAAGAGAGAAAAATTGATAAAAAAGAACTGCAATCGAAAAAAGAAAAAAAAGGAAAGAAACGATAAAACTGCGACACTTTTTGAAGGACGCACAACGTCGATGTGATGCATTAGGTCGATTGGTTTTCGGAAAAGAAGAAGAAAATTTAAAAAAACAGAATTTGGAGGCCAAACACCAGAAAAAGAGCTACGCAGTAGTAAACAGAGAGACACTAAATGATGAAAAACAAGAGAATTTATTTTTGAACGGAGAGGGGCGGAGAGAAAAAAGAAACTAAAAAATCAATAAAAGGGAAAAAACGGCCTATATTCGGGGGGAACCATGGAAACGGGCGGGGGAGAAAAAAGCAAAAAAACGGCATAGAATTCAGTTATATCTGGCCTTGCACTGCTTGAAAATGTCGTTGAATCCGTTGCACAGCGAGACGTCCGACTGGTTTTGAGCGCAATCGACGAACTGGCGCCACTCGAATTCGCATGGTTGAGCGTAGGTGGACGCTTGTGGAGCGGCCGCTGGTGCAGCGGCAGCTGGAGCTTGCTCGGCGGCGTGAAAGCTCGAGCCGCTTCCGGTGAACATTCCTCCGACGGCGTGGCCCTGAAAATAGGGGGTTTTTAGGTGAGTTTTCTAGTTTATAACCCTCAAATTGGGTCTAAAATTAGAAAAGTGAGCCCAAAATGGAGGTATTTAGATGAGAAAACTGATTTTTATGAAATCGGAAATTTGAAGTTTCCGCTGGTTTCTGGTCTAAAAACCGGAAAAGTTGTCTAAAATAGCGCGAAAAGGTGATTTCAAATTGTCCAAACTGGTTGAAAGTGACCTGAAACGACCTAAAATCGATCTAATGGCGTGAAATTGACTTTGAAACACTACAAAACAGTCTGAAATGAACAGAATCAATTTCATATCGCCAAAAATAGCGAAAAATGATCTAAATTTCATCAAAAAATTAGTCTAAAATGACCTAAAATAGGCCCGAAACGGCCTTAAATAGGGATGAATCAGCCAAAAACAGGCTGAATGGCTGAAAAATGGCAAAAATGCCGTAAAATAGCTTTGAAAATCAAATCTCTGGTCGTTTTCTAGACATATTTTAAAGCTTGCTAGCTGCTAATTAGCTTACCACAGCGGATCCAATAGCGACTCCTCCAGCAGTGGCGGCCATCTGAGCCATCAATCCTGGTCCTTGAGATGGAGCGGCACCCATTGGAGCTCCCATTGGTGCTCCCATTGGTGGATGAGCAGCTGGAACTGGGGCGGCAGCAGCGGCTAGAAATTAAAAACTATGAGCTAAAATTCACATTTCAAGCTTTTTACCTGGTCTTGGTGGCGCCGAGAACGAGGATTGAGCCGGGGCGGCTGGTCGTGGAGCCGAACGGACTGGAGCCGATGGGGCTGGGGAAGCGGTGCGCCGACGGACCATTCTGGAAGAAATAGATAATTTAGATAGTTTTTAGAGGGAAACAGGGAAGAAAACAGCGAAAAATAGGTCAAAAATTCCCGAGAAAAGTCGAAATTCCGAAAATACAATGTTTTTTTCTGAATTTAGGGCGAAAATTTCTGAAAATTCGAATTTTCCCGAAAAATTCGAAATTACGAACTCAAAACTATGTCAAAATGAGCACCGGGAAGCGTTTTATATCGGCGAATGGGTTGGTGATGAAATAGTTCAAAAGTCACATGATCTTTTCTTGTCTGTGCGCCGAAAAGAAAAAAAATCAGAAAACACAGCAAAATTTGTGTCACAAAAATGATGAGATAGATATCATTGCGAAATCAGTCATCCCAGTCATTCCACGTGTCGGCTGGAATTGGCAAAATTTCAGCTAAAAAATCCCATTATTTTTAGACGAATTCTCAGAAAATGAACACAAAATTATCTTCGAAACGATTCTCGGTGGGATATGAATCGGTGAATACCAATAGTTCAAAGGTTTATATTCTTTTTTGGCTGGAACAGTGAACGAAATTCAGATAAACGACAGTGTAACGCCCATCACGGTTACCTGGGAGAATATTGAGTGAGTAGGGGCAAAAAATGATTGGTTAATTTTTTAAATTACTCTTTATACGATTTTCCCACAAAACTTTTTGAGTTTTTAAGACCAAAAATCAAGCGAAAATTCGAGAAAATAGGTGAAAAAACAGATAAAAATCATGACGCGTTGCTCGTAAAATAATGGGTAACGGCCGCAACACTCCGCAAACACCGCCGCCTACACCGTAGCCATCAAAAAGCGAGGGAAATCAATTGCAGTTTTTTTCAGAGTGAAAACCCGGAAAAAAGGAAAATCACTTCTGAATCGAGTCTCCGGAATAGCAAAACCGGGAGAAATGGTGGCATTGATGGGTACAAGTGGTGCGGGAAAAACTACATTGTTGAATGTGTTAATGGATAGAAATATGAAGGGGTTGGAGAAGAAAGGAACGGTGAAAGTGAACGGGAAAGCCATTGGCGAGAAGATTTCGTTGATTTCTGGTTTCGCACAACAGCAGGAGATTTTCATACCAACACTTACTGTGAAGGAGTATTTAATGATACAGGTGCGAGAAAATCCTTAAAAATATAAAAAAATCTTGGAAACTCCGTTAATTTTTGTTGAGAAAGTCTTTGAAAGCTAGTAATTTTTCATAAAAATCGTATTAAATTGCTCAAATACCCTTTAAAACTTCCAAAAACTTCCAAAAAACAAAAAAAAAGCTTGCAGAGGGGTTCGAACCAAAAACCTCTCTCACAGCGTCCGTCTCCGCTCACCACTGCGCCACGCGCGACCATGGACGCAATGGAGCAAATGACGGATATAAAGTGCACGCTTTTTGCAGGCAAAATTGCGAATGAAAGCCAACAAGTCAACCCGGATCGAGCGAGTAGAAGAGATAATGGACATGTTAGGTCTTCAAAAGTGTCGAAATTCGAAAATTGGAAATCCAGGACTTGTAAAAGGGATCTCCGGTGGAGAAGCACGTCGTCTAACTTTTGCCTGTGAATTACTATCCAATCCATCGCTTCTTTTCGCCGATGAACCAACTTCTGGCCTAGATTCGTTTATGGCGGCTACTGTAGTTCAGATAATGAGGGATTTGGCGAATTCTGGACGAACGCTAATTGCAATTATTCATCAACCAACAGCCGATTTGTATTTTCAATTCGATAAAATTATATTTTTATCGTTGGGACGGACTGCGTTTATGGGAACGCCAGAGGAGTCCATTCAAGTGGGTTAAGTTGGCCTAGAAATCCAAATTTCAAGAAAACTAGGTCATGCTATGGTTACTTTGAAAGCCCTTGTATTTTTACGTTCAAACCAGGTTTCAGATTAGAAAAATAACAATTTTGAAGCGAGTTATAACCATTTTAGTTTGATGGCCTAGAAATACAAATTGTTTGAAAACTAGGCCATAGTATACATCATGTGAAAGCTCTCGTCTATTCACGTCAAAAACAGTTTTCAGCTTTGAAAAATATTGTTCTTAAAGCGAGTTATGATCATTTAAGTTTCATGGCCTAGAAATCCGAAACTAGGCCGTGACTTCCCAAATTTGAGAAAGTCATAACTAGCTTTGAAATCAATACTTTTCAAATCTGAAAACTGATTTGGAATCCTCAAAGCATGCTCTTCGAAACCATGTACGTCATGGCCTATGTATCGTAATACTAGGAATTCTAGGCCAGCGACCGAAAATCATCATAACTCGCCTCAAAATTGTGGTTTTCCAGATTTTTATTTGGATTTATAATTTTTAAAAATTTCAGTTTTTCTCGGATTGTGGTCATCCAATTCCAAAAAATTTCAATCCTCCCGAATGGATCCAAGAAAAGCTGTCCGTTCAACCAATCGAGGAAATTGAAAGCTATCAAAGAATCATGAATATAATTCAAGTTTTTGAAACTACAAAATTCTCAAAAACATCTACAATTGAGCTGCAAATGATTCCGAGCACAAAACTACCCCCGTTCATTGAAAATCCGGGATTTTTTGTGGAGACTGGAGCACTTTTGAAGAGGTACAGCACCCTTTTTTTGAGAATAACTTTGGATGTCCTACAAAAGTCATTTACATTTTTAAGACTTATCTGAGAATTGCAGGCTGTACTGAACGAAACAAGAGCTTTAATTTGATAGTTGACAACTTTTTGTAGCTTTGTTAGTTTTTGAGTTATGCGCCTTTAAACAGTGAGAGCTCGCTAACACACCGCCTTCTCGACCCTAAGCGCGCCCTTAATTTAAAAGCGTATACCGTAAAACCTCTAATAGAACGACACCCGGATCGTCCACTTTGAGCCTATATATCTCATTTTCTGTGAATGATATCAACAAGTGGCTAATTAGTAAAATGTTGCTGATATCCTGATAAACATTTTACTAGTTAACCACTTTTTGATACCTTTCAAAAGAAGTGAGATATATAGGCTCAAAGTGGACGTTCCGGGTGTCGTTCTATTAGAGGTTTTACGGTATCTCAAAAACTAACAAAGCTACAAAAAAGTTGTTTACTACAAAAATGAAGTTATTAAAATTTTACACATTTTTGTAGTTGACAACTTTTTTCTAGCTTTGTTATTTTTTGAGTTATGCGCCTTTAAATTGAGAACGCGGATAGAGTAAAGAAGACGGTGTGTTAGCGTCGCTCTTACTTTAAAGGCGCATATCTTGAAAATTAAACAACCTATCAAAAAGTTGTCAATTACAAAAAAAGCTCTATTTTTGTTAAGTGTATTCTGAAATTTTCAGATGAATCGAACAAATTGAAACTACTTTTGTAGGATACCAAAGACCGTGGTCCAAAGTTGACCATTTTCGACTAAAAATAGGTCATCTGGACGTTGGGAAACACAGATATTTCAGAGCTTCTATCGATGTGATCCGTTCGCCGGCTCAAATGCGGATGAAGCTGATCCAAAAAATCGTGATGGGATTGTTCATCGGAAGTCTCTACTGGCAACAACCGCTCGATTGGCGTGGAGTCAGAAATACGAATAGTGCTTTGTACTTTTTGATCGCCGAGCTCACTTTTTCTACAATGTTCGGGATTATGACGTTTATGGAGCACGAGTTGCCATTGATTGCAAGAGAGTATCATGATGGATTGTTCTATGTGATTAGTTATTATGTTTCCAGGTGAGATAAAAGTACTTTGTAGTTATCAGTTTGACCGGAAAATCTTTGAGAGCATAAATCAACTCTAGAGCTTCATTTTCCAACAAAATTTCTAACTCGCTTCAAAATTGAGCTAGAAGTTTGATTTTTACTGCGAAATATAAAAAAGTTATGTTCCACATTTTCTTGGTTTATACTTTTTCTCATCTCTTTTGGTTCTCAAGAAAAACTCATATTTTAGATGTCTGTCCTATCTCCCACTTTTCACATTCGATGGAGCCATCATGGTGATCATTTCATACTGGATGATTGGATTGAACAATACTTTGCAACAAGTTCTCAAAAGTATTCTGATTGCAGTTCTAGTTGAGCAATCCGCCACGTCGTGTGGCCTATTCTTGGCATGTCTCTTTGAAACTACATCGGTAAGCAAACGCACTCTATTGAATCTTCTAAAAAGGCGAATTTGCAGGTGGCTATTGCGTTCGCTGTTCCGATATCGGGTCTTTTTGCATTGCTCAGTGGACTTTACGGAAATACAAACAATTTTCCTGTGTATATTCAATGGATGCAATGGACCAGTTGGTTTAGGTAAGGACTGCGAGCTTAAAATGTCGGCCTAACTTTTGCTAGTTGAGTTTTCTAGGCCACCAACTATTATGACCTAGAAATGACCTGAAAATTAACTTGTGTGTTTTCTAGGTCATCTGCCATGGTGACCGAACTTTTGCAATTTGAGTTTTCTAGGCCACCAACTTTTGTGGCTTAGAAATGACCTAATATTCAGCTGATGTTTGTTTCTGGAAAATTTGACATGGCGGCCTAACTTTTACAGGTTCTGTTTTCTAGGCCATCAGTTTTTATGACCTAGAAATGGCATAACATGTCCCTGATGTGTTTTCTGAGCATTTTGACGTTGTGGCCTAATTTTTGCAACTTGATGTTTCTAGGGCACCAAGTTTAATGACCTAGAAATGGCCTGATAATCATTTGATGTGTTTTCGGGTCATTTTAACATGGTGGCCTAACTTTTTCAAGTCGATTTTTCTAGGCCATCATGGCAAAAAGCTTAGAAAATACACCAGATGAATAACAGGCCCTTACTAGATCAAAAAAGGGTAGTACTAGAAAACACAAACTGCAGAAGTTAGGCCACCATGGTGAATGGCCTACAAAATACACCAGATGAATATTAGACAATTGTAGGTCATTTGCGATAGTGGCCTAGAAAACCCAACTTGCAAAAGTTCGGCCACCATGCTAAAATGACCTAGAAAGCATACCATAAGAATATCAGCTCAATTCTATGTCATTTTCACGTGGTGGCATAAAAAACTCAGCTTGCAAAAATTAGGCCACCAGGAATTCAAAGAATTTCAGATACGGTTTCGAAGGACTCGTTGTAAACCAATGGACCAAAATCGATAATCCGAAATTTTCCAATTTTTTTCGGGATTTCATTTTGGATCAATTCTCGTTCAAAGCTGATAATTATCCAATGGATGTGATTGGATTGGGATCAATTGTTTTGTTTTTTTATGTCGCTGGATATGTGGCACTTTTGGTCCGGATAAGGATGTCGAGATGATCAAAGAATCACAGAAAAAACGTTTTTATTGATTTTTCAACAAAAAATAAACTTGTTACAAAAGAGACAGTACTACAGTAGATCATGCAATTAAAGCGGGAGAAAGTGTTGAGATTCTGTGGGGGTACGGTGGAGCGCGTTTGCACTGTTGAAGTTCATGGAATCGGAAGCATTGACTCCATTGTGACACGTATCGAGTTTGAGAGATTCTTGAAGAACTTGTCTGGGACTTGGGGGAGATTTCGTTGCTGTAAAAAGTTAGGTCATGTGAAAAAAAGTTAGGCCATGGGAGAAAAAGTTAGGTCACGATTCAAAAAATTAGACCACAATAAAAAAAGTTAGGTCATGTAAAAAAAGCTAGGCCATGTAAATAAGTTAGGCCACGATTTAGAATGTTAGGCCAAGTGAAAAAAAGTTAGGCCACGACACTTACAAGTCTCTCAATGATTGTAGTCTGGTAGGTGTCTTTGAGGTTGTAGCCGAAGGTGTTGTAGACGATGCAGAACTGAAAAAAAATCTGTGTGTCCGGATATCCGGATGTCCGCTTACTCTATTTAGGAAGAACAATGCGTTTGGAGGTAGTTTGAAGCGTTCTTGATGGAGCAACAGGTAGTTGTACGTCTCTCCGATGATCATCTGATAATTTTGAATTTTTTGTTGGCGCTTTTTTGGTGCCTTGGCGCTTTTTCGGTGCCTTGGTGCGTTTTCGGTGTCTTGCGATTTTTCGGTGGGTTGACCCATTCTCACTGCTCTGGCGCTTTTTCAGTGCACCATGACGAGTTTTCGGTGCCTTGGCGCATTTTGAGTGCAAGGCGTATTTTTGGTTTCCTTGACGCTTTTTCATTGACATTGGGGCTTTTTTGGAGCACAGAGCGTTTTTGGAGCCTTGGCGCTTTTTTGGTGCCCTTTTTTTCTGCTGGTCAGAGTTAAAGTTTCTAGAGCTTCAAAATGAGTATAAACAAGCTAAAATTTTGAAATTTACGATTTTTGGGTCCCGCCGCGAAAAGCTAAAAAGTACCGTAACTTTGTCTATCCTGACCTAAAATTTGTGAAATGTAAACTGTCAAAATTCAAATATCAAGAGCTTCAAAATGAGTATAAACAAGCCAAGATTTCAATTTTTCGATTTTTGGGTCCGTGCTCCTTTGCGCCTTTTCAATTCCCCTAAACATTTGGCTCACCTCCAAATCATGATACGCTCTTTCCGCTTTCATATGTCTTGTCAATAATGGATGACCCAATTCCAGTTGTTCTCTGGAATCATAATTTTTTAAAAACTTTTTCAAAAAATTACTGACATGTCCCTGACGATTTCATCAAGTGTTGGGAACGTTGGAATTGCCATTGGCTCTGGAAATTCTTGACGGAGACGTTCGTTCTGAAATTTTAAATAATTCTTTCTGTGTGTCTGTTGGTCCGGATTACCGCGATGATTGAAAGATTGGAGAGATAGACAGGCATCCATTTTCTAGCAATGACGACACGGTAGATGTAGAAAATGGCCTGAAATTTTTGGAAATTTCAGCATTTTAGAATTTTAGAATATCAGAATTTCAGAATCTAGGATTTTCAAAACTCACATAGCTATAAAATAATGGAACTTTATCCTTCATGCCCTTTCCACCACGATAATGAAGAATGATGCAGTTGATCGCCTCGTCTTTGAGTCTCTGAAAATTATGGCCTAGAATTCCAGTTTAGTTTGGTGGCCTAGAAATCCAAATTTTATGAAAACTAGGCCATGGCTTTTTGCGGTCTAAAAGCTATCATCTTGTCACGTGGAAACCAAGTTTCAGATTTAAAAAATAATGGTTTTCAAGCTAATTATGTCAATTTTAGTTTGGTGGCCTAGAAATGCAAAACTAGGCCACATCTTCCCAAATTTGAAACTGTCATAACTTGGCTTAAAACCGATATTTTTCAAATCTGAAAACTGATTTGGAACTTTCAAAGCATGCTCTTCAAAACCATGCACCGCATGGCCTAGTTATAATGATACTGGGAATTCTAGGCTACCTAACTTAAAAGTTGTGGTTTTTTTTAAATTTTTTTGCCCGATGGCCTAGAACTCCGAACCTTTCCTCTCCTCTAAAAAAAATTGAATTAATCGCCTAGGATTCCGAACCTAGTCCCTATTTCTTTCAAAACTCACCAACATATGCGAAATCGTTGGAATATCCTCGGCGCCTGGGATCAGCAACTTTTGCAGCTCGGCAGCTTTATTCGCATTCCATTGCTCAAACTGTTGAAACTTTTCCAATGAGTCCGGAGTCATTTGAGCCTGTCGAGCGGCCTCCTGGGCTTGCATATGAGCTTGGGCCTGAGCTTGTAGGTGAACTTGAGCTTGAGCGTGAGCTTGGGCCTGAGCTTGTAGGTGAACTTGAGCTTGAGCGTGAGCTTGGGATTGGTATTGCGGATCGGCGGGGAGTGGGACGATTTGAGGTGGAAGATTTGCGTAGTTGGAGTGAGCTCGAAATTGATCATGGGTACTGAGCGTTGTGGGTTTGGGTTCTGGTTTGGTTCGAGGTCCGGATCTTTTGATTTGAGCCCAATTTCCATTGATGGCAGTTTCCGGAGCACTTCTCTTGTTGTGAGCGACTTTTGGAGGTGGACCATGTCCCATTGGGAGAGTCTGATAAGCCTGAATCGGTGCTTGCAGATCCAGAACTGGCATGATCCTGACTTCTGCTGGAAGGACGGGAACCTGAATATGGCTTGAAGCTATAGCTGTGGCAAGCGCCTGAATTGGAACTGAACCCTGAACAGGTATATTCCCTGCTTCAAGGGCATGGACCTGCATTGAAACCGGACCAGCAGGCATCTGTCCCATCCCATATTGTCCTTCTAGAATAACCCTGGCTTCAGCTGCAGCTTGGATTCTAGTCTGAGCTTGCCATTGAGCTTGAATCTGAGCCCATGCTGGATCCTGTAATATTGCTTGGGTTTCGAGCTCAGCTGCAGTTGGGCCAACAACGATTTGCTCGGCATCCTTGGCCATCTGATCGGCAAGCTGGCCATGTTGGACTGGTTCCTGGACTACGATGTGCTCCAAGAGCTTGGCTCCTTCGGGAGCTTGGAAGGCTGGTGGGGTGGTTGTCTCGACCATGATGGAAAGCTGAAAATGTTTATAAGATAATTAGAGAGGAGAGACGGAATTCTAAATACCGGTCGGTCGCGGCCGGCCATGATTGAGCACAGACGCTCACACTTTTAGCTCAATTATCTCGGTTTCTATGAAAAATATCAAAAATTTGTCAACTGATGAAATGTTTGCCATAAAATAAGTAACATTTTATTAGTTGACCACTTTTTGATATTTTTTACAAGAACTGAGATAAATTGGATTGAAGTTTGGGGACCCTACTGTCACCAACCAGTCAAGGCCTTTTAACTTTGAGCTCAATTATCTCGATTACTGTGAAAGAAACCAAAAATCTGTCAACTGATGAAATGTTTATCATAATGTCAGAAATGTTTTATCAGTTGACAAATTTTAGATATTTTCACAAAAATTGAGATTAATTGGATCGAAGTTGGGGGACCCTACTGTTGTACATGAACCGAGATAATTGAGCTCAAAGTGAACTATACTGTAAGATATTGAAAAAAAGTGAGTGAGAGAGAGAGAGAGAGAGAGAGAGAGAGAGAGAATTTCGAAAATTTAAAAACTAAAAAAATGTTGAATATTGAAATACCGAAAAAAAACCGTTAATCGAAAAAAAGAGCACATTCCGATTGCTCATTCCATTTTTCGGGAGGTTTTGAGAAAAATCTCATTTGACAACTACATACCCAACTTATTTTTTATGTCTCGGCGGAAAAACTTTTCATGACGGAGATGCCAGAATGGGACAGGAAGGAAACTAGAATATGAAAATTGGGTAGGGGTGTCCGGAAATCAAAAAGAAATTTTTTTTTGGAAAAAAGGGTGAAATTTAAGGTTTCGGAATTTTAAAAGATTTTATAAATTTGAAATTCCGATTTTCAGATTTTTTAAAGAAATTCAATTTTTAGATATTTCAAATTTAAAATGTGAAAATTCTTCAAATTCCAAAAATTCGAATTTTATATTTTTCCAGAAAAAAGTAGAATCAAAACTTAGAACTCGAAAATTGTGGCTCGTTGTTTGATTTAACGGGGGAAAAATAAATTACGGGTTGTATAATAACTCCCCAAAAATAAAATTTTGGGTTTATATGTTATACAAAAACCTATGATTAATTTTTTTTTCTAGAAAATAAGGAGGAGGAACGTTATAATTTTTTTGAAATGTAATTTTTGTAATTTTGATTTTCTTGTACTTTTGAAGAACTTGTACTTTTTCAGAATTTCAGATTTCAGATTCATGGAATCTTTCATTTTCAAGTTTTCAAATTTTCAGAATTTCAGAAATTCGAAATTCAGAAATTCAGAATTTCTGAATTTCTGAATTTCTGAATTTCTGAATTTCTGAATTTCTGAATTTCTGAATTTCTGAATTTCTGAATTTCTGAATTTCTGAATTTCTGAATTTCTGAATTTCTGAATTTCTGAATTTCTGAATTTCTGAATTTCTGAATTTCTGAATTTCTGATTTTCTGAATTTCTGAATTTCTGAATTTCTGAATTTCTGAATTTCTGAATTTCTGAATTTCTGAATCTCTGAATTTCTGAATTTCAACGATATCAGAATTTTAGAAATTCACAATTTCACAATTTCACAATCTCAGAATCTGAAGATTTTCAAAATTTCAATGTTTCAGAATTTCAGAATTTCAGAATTATTGAATTTCAACGATATCAGAATTTCAAGAATTTTATATTTTCAAAAATTTAAAAATTTCAGCATTTCAGAATTTCAGAATCTAAAAATGGCATTTTGGAAAATTTCAGAAATATGAATCTAAATTTAAGGTTCTAACTGAAATTTAAAAATTGTAAGAGAAAGTTAATTTTCAAGATTTTAAAAAAGTGTAGTTTTCAATTCTAGTATTAAAAATAGTAATTTAAGAATTCTAATAGGTTTTGCTTCTAATTGGTAAAAAGTTCTAATTAGAAAAAAAGTTGCCTGATTCCATATAATTATTTTCAAAAGTTTTTCTAAATTTCTGATATCATAAGGAATTTATTAAAGTTATCATTATCTCAAAAATATATAATTATCTCAAAGAAGTTCAAAATTTTCGGAATACCAAATTAGAATACTCTAGAATTTATTCAAATTGCTGAATCACTGATATCATCCATGCAACGTGTACATTTTGAAAAAGGATTCTGAATTTGTATGGCTTCTGAGCCAAAAATGGCGAATTAGATTATTGAAATCCGGAGGATTAATAGAGGGAATTTAAATTTTGGTTTTATTCTTCTTAGAGGTAAATTATATATAAATCCGGAGGGATTAGGAAGAAGAACAACATTCTTAGATTCTTATATTCTTATATTCAAGTTCTGAAAAAAACTTTCTTTAAATTTCAAAATTTTCTAAACTAAATTTTTTTTCTAGGACAGTTTTTTTTTCTAAAAATTTCAGCATCTAGGATTATCTGAAATTGTTAAGATTTCCAGATTTTAGACTTCTTATCATACGAGATTATCCCCCTTCTTTTTTAAACATGTTTTATTTAATCTCCACCCAAGATGAAAAATGTTACGAAATCTTGAAAAAAGCTCAAGAATCAGAAGATTATTTATTTTCTAATCGGCAGAATTATGACTCTTCTCAATTTTTTTTTTGAGATTTTCGTAAACAATCAAACCTGAGTACAAAACAAGGAGTCAGAAAAGTTCAAAACATAATCACATGATTTGTTTTTTGTACAAAAAATACAGGGTTCTGCTCTGATAAGAAGAATTTAGAGATCAAAAAAACTTTTAATAATGAGTAACGTCTTGAGTTTTCAAGCATGAAGTAATAATGCAAATACGCCTGCTGAACATTTAATCAAATTATCAGTGACGCGGGAACACATACTTAGAAAACAAAAAGTGAGAACGAAAATGGGCGGGACTTGTTAATCAAAAATCAAAAAATAGATCAGAAAGATATGATGGTCAATTTTGATCTACTGTATCTAGGTTCTTGTAAGAAATCTCAAAAAGCCGTCAACTAGCAAAATATATTTTATAATATGATTATTTTGTCAATTGACTTCTTTTGAATTTCTTTTGTAGGAACCGAGATACGGTATACCAAAGTTAGGAGGGAGCCTTCTCTTGAAAGCTCGCGAGGGTCTTTCAACTTTGGCATACTGTATCTGGGTTGCTGTAAGATATATCGAAAAGTCGTCAATTGACAAATTGTTCATCATAGTATCAGTATCATTTTATCAGTTGACAAAATTTTGATATACTTCACAGGAAGCGAGATACAGTATACCAAAGTTGACGAATCTTTTTTTTTCAGTTCTAGGCTACCGAGGCAAGGTAATCTCATTTCTAGGCTTTCGACTGACACGGTTATGTTTCAACGTTTGGTTTTTACCAGGAGGAGTTGAAAAGTGGAAAATCATCTAACTTATGAACTGTGCTAAATTTTCAAGCAGCGGGATAGCGAACAGAAAAAAAAGCCATCAAAGGCGCATAGGAGAGGAGTACGGTAGTTGGACCTCCTCTTCTGTACTTGCATTTTGAGCTCAATTATCTCAGTCCTTACGAGATAAATGAAAAATCTGTAAACTAAAAAAATGTAGGTGATATTATGATAAACATTTTATCAATAGACAACATTTTGATAGCTTTTATAGGAATCGAGATAAATTAGATCAAAGTTGGGGGGGGGGGCTTCTTGGCAGGGTCTCTCAACTTGGAGCTCAATTTCTACGCTCCTATGAAAGATTTCAAAAATTTGTAAACAACAAAAATGTTTTTCATAACTTAAGCAACATTTTATCAGTTGGCAAGTTTTTTGATACCTTTTATAAGAATCGAGATAATTGAGCTCAAGACGCGAGCATATGGGAAGGACGTTCCATTAGAGCATTCATGGAAATTGAGATTTTAAACTTCTCCAAGCCAGGCGGCTCTAGGAAGCGAAAACTATAAAAAAGCGTATAGGTACGAAGCACAAAAACAAGAAACGTCCCCGAATGTTTCCTATGTCTAGCCAACTCTAATTCAAAAACAGAGACTCAATCATAAATAAGGCGCCATAAAAAAGTGAAGAATGGCTGTCACGAGGGATGTCACCAAGGGAACAACTCGGAGGAGCACCAGAAGACACACCCTCCCACACATATTAATTTCCGTTTCAGTGGAAACAATATTTGTTTCCAGTTCGGGGGAAATTGGAAAAACAATTGTGTCTAGTGATGTGTACAACAATAATAATGTGAGATGAGTCCACAAGGTACGGAAATGAGCTCAAAAAATAGATTTGGAGGAACAGATGTGCGAGGGACGCGGCGGGAGAAAGAGAGCTACAGTATCCCTGAACAAACAGAAAAATATTGAGCTACAGTACTCCAAACCTGAAATAAACAACAGCAGGCTACAGTATCCCAGAGAGGAAATAAAAAAGCCTTTGGCTACAGTATTCCAGAACGAACGTAAAACTCGCAAATGACGGAAACTACAGTATCCCGGAGAGCTACAGTATCCCAAAACAAACGGAAAATTCTAGACTAGCCAAGTTCAAAAACCTCAAACGTCAACAAATAATAAAAATTCCCATTAATGGGTTATGAGACTCATTAACCTTTAAAAACATATCTGAACTACAGTAATCCTTTTGCACTTTTGAAAAAGAGCAACTACGGATAGGTCACAAAGTAAAAAAAACGGAAATGAGCATTGAAAGAATAGGTTTGGAACATATGTGGGAGAGACACGGGGCGAGAAAAATAGCTACAGTATTCCAAAACAAACAGCTACAGTACCCTAGACCTGATACAAGCAACGTCAGGCTACAGTATCTTAGAGCGGAAATAATAAAGCGTTAGGCTACAGTGCCCCAGAACAAACGAAAATCTCTCAAATGACTAAAGCTACAGTATCCTAAACGAACAGAACATTCTAGAATGGCCAAGTTCAAAAACCTCAAACGTCATTAAATAAAGAACGTCCCATTAATGGGTTATGAGACCCATCAACTATATTGCCATTTCAAAAAAACACATTTGAACTACA